CTCTCATGTAAAGTGTGGGGGAAAAATATCATCTGTCATTCAGACAGTTTGGTTGATGCGCAGTCCAGGAACACCAAATGTGAATCAGTCTGTGTTTGCAAAATTCCCATGTACACACCACAATTCTATCAGCCAAAGCAATTTCTGAGTTCACCAGCAGTACTCAGTCAGTACATTGACGTACTTTAGTATTGAGCACATGGTTACAATATACCATAAAAAAAAAACACTTGTTTTTTAAGAGATTTACTGCTATTACTATCACATTTCACATGCATATTACAGTACTTTAAAATAATAAACTTATCTCAGCAATGGATTAAATATATAATGTATAACTTACTAGGTTAACAAATATTCAAAACCTACTTCGAATACCGTATACCATGCATAGTCAATACTGTACTATATGTATAAACTAAACCTACTGACTACTAGTAAATTATTTGCTGGCAGGTTATAATGTGTTATTCTAAGCAAAACATGCCATAGGGGAGGACAAATAGTAGTTTAAAAAATAATTGCTGAATATTCAGAGGTATAAAAGGTTATTTAATATGTATTTTATCAGTATGTATTGTCAACACATGGACATCCATAGTACCAACAACATAACAAATATGTAAGAGGTGTTTGGCATTGTGTCAATCCATTACAAAATTCGTTTTTAATTATAACTTGGCACCAAATTTAATATATATATATATATATATATATATATATATATATGATGTAGTGAGGTTAAATTGGATTAAATATAATGAATATACATGTACAAGTTATCGGTAGTAAGTTCCTTTGATACAATATGATTAAAATTGCCATTGCCTTTAAGAACAAGTGATCAAACGACTATACAGGTGTCATTTTCTCCATGGTATCAACTACAGTACCAGTGTGTACAGCCATAAGTGGTCTGTTAAACAAGTTCTGATTGGCTGCGGGAAAACTGCAGCTGAAATAGACGTTAACTGATTATTTTTGTCCAGTAATTTATTTATTTATTTGAGTTCAAAACAAATCTCAGAACAGGCTAAAACTTGAAATACTACACCAGCAACTGAAATTAAAAAGCTAACTATACCAACATTGGATTTTAATCAAATTGACTTTTCTCGTCCTTCAAAAAAAAATTAAATTCAGATTCATATATATTCAATAAAATTTCAATTTCATTATAGTGTGTATATCATTGTTGTGTTTCAGAAAACCGTATCTCTTGTACTCATAAAAATGTAGATCATAAGCAGTAGGGGATTATTTCAGAATCAAACACTATGCAAATGCAATATCACAGTCCCTAGAAAAATAGTACTTTTGTAATTGTGGTGACAGTTTTGAAAAATTCAACGTTCAGACCAGGCTTTGCTGAACTGGTTGTCATCAAATTTAGTAATGATATAAGAAAAATGATCAATAAACGAGAAGAATATGGGTTTCTTTCCCAAGTTTGGGTCCATTTCTAAAATATGGAGAAATCAAATGACTCCCATCTTGTTAGAAAACATAGTTGAGCGTGCATATGCAAGGTATGAAATAAGAATAGCATTGCTACTTGCTCTGCACAAAACAATTTTAGTTTTTGAAAATGACTTGATTTCACAAGGGTCTTTCTAGCAACCATGGATAGCAAGTAAAGCAAAAAGAATGCTGCTAAAATTCAGGATCTGATTGATCATCCCAACCACTTGTCTCAATTGCAGGTAAAAAATCAACCTCCACTTCATACTCAAAACCTTCGTCTCCTGGCTTTTTCCGATTCTTTTCAAAGTCCTCATCCATTATGGCCTTTTTTCTACTCAAGGCAATGTCATCCAGCTTGTTCAAGTCCTCGTCCGGGTCGATGGTGTTTTCCATTTTGATTGCTCCTAGGGTTTCATCCAGACTGATGCCTTTCATATGTTCTTGAATTATCCTTAAAAGTTTCTCAATCTGTGGCCTACTGATGTTCTCCAGGTATTTTCGGTGTCTGGGATTAGAGACCAAACTCTCGGCAGTTCTTGTAATACCAGATCTCTTGGTAAATCCCCTTATTGGCATTGTGCGACGGTGAAGATTGCCCCTATGATTGTGGTAAGTTAAAACCAAGGCTGGTGGGTCAAATCTGACACCACACTGCTGTGGCATAATTGACATATTTGTACTTGTAGTTAAATACCAAGTGTTTTGTCTCTAGCTGACATTTAAGTTGTTCCAACTCATTCAAGTATCCAGTTTTTGTTTTCCCACTGCTGAAAAATAAAATAAAAACATTTCAGGCTGTATGATGTTTTTGCAATAAAATAGGAAACAAATGTCAAAGCCAATTTGGAACAGTTTCTTTGCTTGATAAGTGGACCTAGCTGAAGTTCTGTAGCTCACGATTCCCGGTCTTTGGGTTATGGGGGGAACCGTTCCCCCATAACCCTACAGAACTGCAGCTAAAGTGGACCTTGCTCGGCTTGCTCTATGTACTATACCAATGTAGCGTCACGGTCACGCGAGGTATGTAAATGTGTCGAAATGGACATAGTGCGAGTGGTTAGTGCTAGTAGCACTAATCCGAAAAACTACTAGATCTAGTGCTAAAATGTACATAGTGCGAGAGGCATTGATATTGCGTTGTCAACGACGTCAAGACATCCCGTAATTCTCTGAAAATAAATTAATATTTACGTAAAATTGTTGTATCTTTCATTCATTGGAAATGTGCTACAGTGGGAAAATTGAGAAT